TAGACGGGGGGGGGGGCAGCGATGGCCCCAGAAAAGTCGGACAGATAGAGAGCTACACTTTGGGCGAGTGGATTAGTTTCTCTCGCGGATCCCGAAATTTCAAAATTAATTTTGGGTTATCGTTCCAACGTTTGTTTTGCCCGCCATTCGAGGGGGGTCATCGCGTTTGTCGGATTTGCCAGGGCCTCGACGTCGCTAGCCAGAGTGGGCGTGGAATCAGAAATATCAACTCGCGATTAGGAGGCGGAGGCGGAGCGCGCATATCTTTGTAAAATCCTCGAAACATCGTCACCAGGCGAGTTGCCCTGATCACGGGGGGGGGCAAAGAGGATGGAGGGATCCAGAACAAGGTCAGAGGTCGTAGCGACCACCAGCGCTCGTGGCACCCATGATGGGCTACAGGAGGAACCCCCAGTGCCCCCAAAACGCCCCACGGGGGCCCCAGACGCCACGACCTCCAGATCGAGACCAGATGTCGTGGCGAGCAGGTGCGCTCCTGGGACCTCCCGAGCGCCCCAGGAAGAATCCAAGACCCCGCCAAGCGCTCCAGGAGACCCCCAAGACGCTACGACCTCAGATTGCGGCTGGAGGTCGTGGAGCGCTCTTGGGGCCCCCAGGGACCTCGTTGCGTGCCCTTGGCCGCAGTTGGGTCCCTTTCGGGCATCCCTGGGACGTCCAGCCTCCGCCGCCCTGAGGGCGGCTGGGATTTCAGTGGCCCCTGCCCTCCTGACTCTGCGGGGAGGCGCGGCGACGCCCCCGACCTGTACCCTGCCATTTTCGCTAGGTGCCGGTCTATACGTGCTCGCCCCGCTCGAGACATCCAGCACGTTCAGAACTACACTTAGCCAGGCGCTAGGTGTAGTTCTGTACGTGCTGGTTTCGCCAGGGACATCCTCACAAAACAAAGCACTCATATAACTACACCTAGCCAGCGGGGCGGGGTACATGTCGGGGGCGCGACTCGCGCTCCCGACGTGTACCGTGCCCCGGCCGCTAAGTGTAGTTCTGTCCGTGTCCCCTTTTGGCGAAGCATCGGCTGCCCGTGCTGCCCATCTCCGAGGCCACGTCCCCAGGGCCGCTCCCCGCCGACTTCCCACTTCCTCAGGCTCAGCGAAACCACCTGCATGGCCGCTGTCCTTTTCCGCCTCGCGCTGCCCGCTGCCCTTCCCCGCCTCTGCCCCAGCATGATGACCCCAGTGTTTTCTGTGCTTTGGGGCGCCGCTTTGCCTCAGGCGTGATCTCCTCCCTCGTCTCGTGTCTCCGTGCCTTAGCAGCCTCTTTCATTATGTCCTTCCACTTCCACCTCATCCCCGTGTTTCGCCAAGTTTTGTAGCCGCGATCGGTTCTATGCGTGCCGTAAGTAAGTGCCTGGCCAGACGCCCCACGCCTTCGAATTCTTTTCCGTGCTGGATCCCCCCTTCCACGGATGGAGCGGCAGTTCGCGTCATCATTTCCTGTTGCAGCAGCCGCTTAGCCCCGCCGTAAAACATGCTGATAGTTGCAACGCTTGGCGCCCCACGTGTTTCGCATGACCAGCGCTCCCCGTCGTAGGTCGCGAGGCGGTGCCCGTCCACCCAGACCGACCAGCGCGCCTAACCGAATTTTGATTGCCCCCCCTGGTCCCCGCAACTGGGTGGAGTTTTGCTAAGTGTAGTTTTCTGGGGGCCTCCAGGGGGGGGGGGCCCGGAGGGGCCAGAAGGGGGCCCTCTGGGGCCCGAGGATGTTTTTTGTTTCTTGTGTGTGTGTGTGTGTGTTTTCCCACATGTGTGTGTGTGTGTGTGTGTGTGTGTGTGTTGTGTGTGTTCTGTGTGTGTGTGTTTTTGTGTGTTGTGTTGTTTTTGTTGTTGTGTTTTTTTGTTCCACAGACTCCGTGCTTGTGCGGCCCGATTCGGTGTGCGCTCGGATGCGATGCAGTCGTCCGATGCGGCGCGGAGGGGTCCCAGTCTTCGGCCTGCCTGCGGCCTCCCGCGGCGGAGGGCCGCGGGTGCCACGCGGGCGCCGCTCGCCGCCGTGCCCGAGCGGAGCCGGACTGGGCGCCTCTGCGGCCGACTACGATTAAGTCGGGCCCCCCTACAGGGGGATTTTCGACGAAAAATAGAAAATACTAAAAAATGATGAGAAATTGTGTAAAAAGAGTCTGGGGACTATTTTTTGCGTATTTTTTGACCTTGGGGGGGTATTTTGGGGGTGTTTTTCATTTTTCGTCGAAAATCCTCCTGTAGGGGGGCACGCCGGACGTAACACTACGATTTCAACGAGACGACGCGGCTACATCACGAGAAAATGGATGAGTGGGGACTGTCGGGAAATCAGCTGCTGAAGTACGCATTGTCCGGAGTAGGCCCCTGGCGCGCGCAGCTTCTCATGCGAGGCCATGGCCTCATCCGCCTCGCCTTTAAGGGGCCCGGGCGCATGCCCGCACAGGCGTTCCGTTTCCGTTTCCGTTTCCGTGGATATGCCCTCCCGCCAAGGGTTCGGAGGGTGATTTGATCCTCACACTGCGAAGAGATCAGGGAACGGCCTCAAGTCGGGCCTGTCCCTCTACAGGAGGAATCTTCAAAAGAAGTCGAGACATAGTCAGGGGGCGATCTGTTTAGTATGTTGTGGGCCATGTTGGGGCATTGTCTGACTTTACTGTGTTCGTCCAAAATCCCCCTGTAGGAGGACAGCCCCGGCTTAAGAATGGCCCGCTTTCTCGGTTTTCGAGAGGGCGTTGCGGCCGTAGTTTCTGCGGGCGTGTGCCCGCTGCGTTTGGCACCAGGTCCTTTTGACCACAGGGTGGTTTGCGAAAGGGGAGTCCTCTCAACGCCCACAGTGTCCACTTGGACCTACGCACGCCGATGTGTGGCGCCGTGATAAGATATATTGCCTCTGACAGTCCCTGCGGCAAAACATGCGCAGCCGGACCGTGCCCATGCGACGGAAAGCCGGAAGCATGCGCGGCAGACTTGGCCATGCCCTTCTGGGGCTATATACCTAATCGCACCATCCGGGGAACCCGGAATGAGCCCGGCTACGGTTGGTGGTGGCGTACAGCTGACAGCTTCCAGTGCCGGAGGATCATCGCCAGATAGGGGAGGCAGTGTAACCATGAACCTCGGAGAATAAACCCCCAGGGATAGTAAAGTTCGGGGTTTTCGGGGAGATAATAAAAGTTGCCCGCCAGAGCCAGCATAAAAGAGATATCAAGAGGAAAAAGCCAAAGATATCTTGAGGATTGTCTCGGTTGAGACATCCTCAACGAATTGCTTGTTTCGCTTGAGACATCCTCGAAATATGTGTCTGTTTCGCTTGAGACATCTTCAACTTATTGCTTATTTCGCTTGAGACATCCTTCAGGGAGGAGGAGAAAGAGCAAGAGGAGGAGAGGAGAAGGAGATAGCAAAAAGCCGTTTAAAACTTATTATATTTAATTTGTAAACGCTTGATGAAAATTGAAATTTTCATCTGCTCGTGTAGGGTAGCTCACGTGCCTCGTTTTCCCAGGATAAACAACCCCACCGATGAACAAGTTCAGGGCGCCAGGGGGAGGAGGAGGAGAACGAGATAGAGAGACAGAGAGAGAGAGAGACAGAGAAAGAAAGAAAGAGAGACAGAAAGAACTACAACGAGACAGAAGGACATCGGTTTCGCTTGAGACATCCTTGAGGGAGGAGGAGGAGAAAGAGCAAGAGGAGGAGAGGAGAAGGAGATAGCAAACATCCAAAGTTTAAAACTTATTATATTTAATGTGTAAACGCTTGATGAACATTAGAATTTTAAACTGCTCGTGTAGGGTAGCTCACGCGCCTCGTTTTCCCAGGATAATCAACCCCAGCGATAAACAAGTTCAGGGCGCCAGAGGGAGGAGAAAGAGATAGAGAGACAGAGAGAAAGAGAGAGACAGAGAAAGAAAGAAAGAGAGACATAAAGAACTACAAAGAGACAGAAGGACATCGGTTTCGCTTGAGACATCCTAAAACAACGTGTTCGGTTCGCTTGATGTTGTTATCTCAACATAAGAAGGAAGTAACCTCGATGGCGAACTTTGCCCGTGAAAATGGAGTTCGGCCTCCGCGCCCCCGCGCCCCCGACCAAATTCTTATTGGTCGACGATAAGAAAAACTCTAACTACTTAAGGGGGGGTACATTATTATCGTGGGCATGGGGTTAGTGGTTCGAGGGAATAAGCAAGAGAACATGACCAACACGTCGCGGGATTCCATCCCGGATTCGCAAGCATGATCTATGAGTTGGCAATCGTCAAAGCAGACGATGACCACGAGCGGCACCGACGTTTCCGCGTTCTGCCTCGGCCATGGGCATCTCATTTCTTTTCCACACTTGTGGCATGCAGCTACTGTGTTGGATCGACTCGCGTTGAAATTGGCACACTCGTATCCGACAAGTTAGCAGTGTCCCCCCTCCCTCTGGTGGAACCCACCTCCGCATCCCTGCGGCGCTCACTCGTGCCTCCTCCTACGTCCTGCGCCTTCATCGTGCCCTCATCTTTTCTCTCTGCTCCCTCCTCCTGGATCTCCTCCCTCTTCCCTCCTCGTCCTCACATCCTCTACGCATGTCAGCCACACGCACCTCCTGCCTTCCACGTGTTCCGTCTGCCGCCTCATTCTCTTCGTCCACCTTCCTCCGTCCCCGGCTCCCCTCATCATCCTCCCTCATTCCTCCTCGTTCCTTACAGCACAGCACCTCTCTCGTGCCTATTCTTCATTTCTCTCTCCTGTTCCATCCTTTCTCCCTCTATCGTTGATTCCCGACCCTTCTTCCTCTTACCCCCCTCTCTTTTCGCCGTTCACCCCTCTCGTTCGTGCCTCAGTCTTCTGCATGTTTGCTTGCGCCTCTCACCCTCTCCTCCTGGCACAGTCTCCTCTCCCTCTCCCCTCCCTCCGCCCTCCGCGCTTCCTGGGGCCCTGCGGGGGCCTCCAGCGGACGAGACTGGCCGAAAAAGCTTTGCGCCGTGCATTCTGCACGGCGCGTCCCCCTCCGCCCAGCTGGGGGCACAGGTCGGCCACGAGTACGGCACGACCACTGGCAGGCGGCGCCGGTGCGGCTGGCTGGACATCCCGCTGGTGAAGTGCCGAGCCCCGCCTCGCCGACCCTCGGCAGCCATGCCACCACTGCCTGGCATCGCTCGGACGTGTGCGTTTTTCCTTCGGCGAGGACCATCGAGGAGCATCCTTGATCATTTGGCGCAAAAGCCACGCACGAAACCTAAAAAAACACAGGAAATGTACGTCCGAGCGATGGCCAGACTGGCGTTCCAATGGGGCAGAAAAGTAATGAGCACCAGGATGTGTCAGTGTACATTCCAGTGAAGGCCTGAGCAAGTCTGCAGGTACCTGCAGGTCCAAAAGGATGTTGCTTAGCACCGGAAGGGGAGGGCTCAGTGTCTTGGATCAGGCAAAGCGCTCCCGCGGCGAGGCCGTTTCTCGAGCTCCAGGAACGCCAAACGCCCCGTCCCCGGGGAAGGCCGCCCCGTCCCTGGGGAAGGCGGTCCAGAGAGGCGTGGCTGGAGTTCGCCTTGAAGTAGAAATCAGCACGTGCGCGGCGGTGCCTCCCGCGTGCTGCCACGGATATTCCGAGTTCCTCCATCACCACCGCCAGGGGAGACTCGATCTTCGGGTGCCTCGGCAGGCGGTGGATATGGATTCGACAGGTCCTCGCCTTGCAGACGCGGCGGCGGCCCCGTCGCTGGCGTTCAGCGCTGAAAGCCGCCGGCGGTCCAAGATCGGTCGATGTGGAACAGTCTGGCGTTTCGGAAACGGCCGATCGTTCAAAGGCTGATCGGTCCCCGCTGTGTCAGAAGCCAGCGCCGAAGTCGGCGCGACAGGAACCCGCGGTCTGGCAGGTTCGCGTCGTGTCGACGCGGCGGCGACCTCAACGCGGGCCTACCGAGGCTCTTCCAGAATCGGCTTACGTAGCTGGAATTTCTCTCTTGCACTCTTGGTTCCCCCTTGAGCCGCCTCTTTCCGTGCTCCTCCATGGCTCGTGCATCGCCTGGTGGAGTCTCCTCTCCCTGAGCGGGGAAGCTGGTAATCTTAAGAATCACTGCGCTGGCACGCGGAACAGAAAACGAATCAGCCAATACAGTGGGGGCGCTGAACAAGGAACCCTTTTCGTTGGGGAGGGGCTCCGTGTTCCTTCATTGTTTCGCAGCTTGCCTCGGGTTTCCCCTATGTCTTCGACGGGGAATCGAAGTTTAACCGATGGAAAAGAGGGGCCTCGTTCCTGATTTGGGGTTCCTTAGGTCAAGGCCCCGACTGTACGCGACGAGTCGGCGACCGAGAGGCCTCCCATCCAGTAAAAGCCTGAGCCATCCGCGCGGTGCCGGAGGCCTGCGCCGGGGCGGCCGCAGCACGGCCGCAGCCGTGCACGGACATCCAGCAGGCAGGCACTCCAGTGCCGTTTTTAATACCTGCTCCGCGGGCGGATCGTGTATGAAAAAAACGATGACCATTTATGAAAAATGCAGGGATTTAGTATTAAAAGCAACGATGAGTTCATGCATACATTTATTCATACACTGATCATGTATTAGAAATCTTAGATTTTGAAAATCCAATGTATTAAAAACCGCCCTGTCGGGAGCCCAATGCGCCCACAAGCTCTGCAGCGCGGGGCGTCCGAGGGAAGCGCCGTGCTCGCACGTCGTGCCGCGCGCACCTTTGCTGCGGGTGTGTGTGTGTGTGTGTGTGTGTGTGTGTGTGTGTGTGTGTGTGTGTGTCGCCAGGCTGTGCCGGGCCGGGGGGGGCGGGGAGGCGCCCCCTCGCTGCGGCGTTCCCTTCTCGGTGCCGAGGGCACCGAATCGACCGGAACGCGGCTCCCTCAGTCACCACCTTGCCTCCCCCCATAAAACAGGGCTAGGATTGGGATAAATCGCTCCAGAGCGTTCCGGAGCGCTCTCAGAGCGTTCCGGAACGCTCTGGAGCGGCCGCGGCGCCCAATACATCTTCCAAACCCGCGGGTTCTCAGAGATTTCGAGTTATCCCGATCCGATTTTGTCCCGATCTTCGCGTCGTTTTAACCTTGCCTCCCCCTAACCACCCGCACAATGTGCCGCACGTCGTCTTCCTCCCTCTCCTTCCACCCCTGCCCCCCTCTAGGACACTGTATGACCACCGTGAACGATCGACGATTGGCGACAGTCATGGAACCCTCCTCAGTTTTCATTCCTCCAGGTCCGCCGCTCCAGTCTGCTTGCGTGTCTTTTGCTTTTTTGCCGAGGGAGGCCAGGGCAGGTGTTGATGACATGGGTAAAGTCACAGGGGACGGCTCGATTAGCGGGGGAGGAGGCGAAGGGCGGTTACGGCATGTTCGCGCCGCCTAGACGTGACGGCGACGTTGGTGAGGTTATTCAAGGTTTACCCCTTCGGTGGGCTCGCTTCGGGCCCATTGGGGCCCAGAAAGCAGCCCAGGGCGAAAGATCGATCAATACGCCAGGTGGGGCCGAGTTCCTCTGGGGATGTCCCCCAGTGCGGAGGTCCTTGAAGACTGCGCGGGTCATGCTGTGTCGGACACGGGAGCCCACCTCAGGGCAGGAGTTTGACGCGGGGAGTGCGATTGTGAAGGAGGGCTGGAGCAGAGGCAGTCCTCGCCGCTGGAGTCAGAGTCGGGAGGGGTGGTCTCCCAAAGGTATTCGACCCTCATCAACGGCTTCGACAGCCTCAACATAACCAAGCTTGACGTGCTGACAGGCCATAAGCTGCTTGAGCATGCTCCTTCCCCTCGGCCTGGCACTTGCGCTTCCAGTCAACATAGGTTCTGGCGCTGAAGCCCGCCACGCTCAGCGTCGATTCTAGGTTTTTGTGGCTGAAAGGAAAACGAACAGCAACAGCAACAAAGCAAGAACATCCTGCTGCTACTGCCCCCATTGCGGCCCCTGCCTTGCCCACTTCGTGGCCCCCACCTGGTGAGACCGTGCCCTGTGACGATGCCACAGCTGCATACGTTGTTTTCTATTCGTGCAATGGGTACCCAACGAGCGCAATACCCTGCCTCTGGGCCGTAGGTGGAGATCCTTGTGGGCCACGATCCGTGTGAAGGGTGTGCCGAAGTAGGCGGGGGGGGGCGGGGGGGCGCGGTGCAAACCTTGTCTCTGCGGCCGTCCGTGGAACCGCGGGCCACGATAATAAGAGGTGTGGTTAAACGTGCGGGGCGACGCTCTGAAGCTCCCCTCTGATGCCGCAGATGCAGCTACTTGCGGGGCACGATCCGCGTGGGGCGTCCACTACGCCAACCTTGTCTCTGGGGACGTAGGTGGAACGCCCTGTGGGGCTCGATCCCTGCGAGGAGGATGCCGACATGGGCGGGGGGCGGGGGGCGATAAGCCAAGCGTGTCTCTGGGGCCGTCTTCTTGGAGGGTGTTTTTCAAACTTTGTAATGGCTGATTCTGGTGCGAGCCTCAGTACACGGTTGATTGGCTTCCAAAATTGAGTTCTGTCTTTGGCGTTGCGCACGCTCATGTTCACAACCAGCAGTTCCACGGTTTCGAATTCATGTAACGAGTGGTTTTCATTGGGATGTGCGGATGCAATGTTATCGTTGCATCGTAGAATCGAAGCCTTTACTCGTTTTGACATTTCTTTCCCACAGGGAATTGTTGGCAGCAGTTCAAGGTTTGGTGTTGGTGCGAACCTCGGCCGAGGGCCTTGAGAAGTTGACCACGAGGGGCGTAAAACGGCGCCAACGATGCCCCCAATATGTCTTCGGACGTTTCAGGCTAAGAAGGCCCTTATACGTTTCAGGACGGCCTTCCGACGGCCCAACAGCCCCAAAGACTCCTACGGGAAGTTTCAAAAGGACCACATGATTCACCATACGGTTTCCGTTGCTGGGCATTTCGATATCCAACCACAATTTGCTACAACCTACGCGCGCTACGAAGGTTTTAGCACATCTCTCTCTCTATTTATATATATATACGTATACATAAAAATACGTGTGCATTCATAGGTGTATATATACACAGAGCTGCAAGAACACCCTTCGGGTGGTAGAGTAGGTTTGGGAGGGGAAGATTGCAGTTTCTGGTTTGCGATTGGCACCTTTCATGTTCTCACTTTACCGAACGATCTCGCCTTACATCTATCGGAGTCACTGTCTACTGGTCGATATCTCTGCCGATTGGTCGTGTCGCATCCGTCAGATTCCTCCATCCCCCTCTCGCCTCCCTTCTCTCCTCCGTCCCCCCGCCGACGTCGCACGTGCCGATGCCGAGCACACCAACAATACCGAATCGGCGACTCGAGCCTTCGGGATGGGGCCCGCGCCTTCGCTCTCTCCTCCGCGCATGCTTTGCTGCCGTGCCCGCCGCGGCACAGACAGTGCCCCCCCGAGGCCCGCGCAGTTTGCAGGGCCACGACCTCTCTCCGCTGGGCTCGGACGCGTGCCCGTGGCGGTTGCCACTCGTCCTTTAAACGACGCGAAGATCGGGACAAAATCGGATCGAGATAACTCGAAATCTCTGAGAATCGGCGGGTTTGGAGGATGTATTGGGCGCCGCGGCCGCTCCAGAGCGTTCCGGAACGCTCTGAGAGCGCTCCGGAACGCTCTGGAGCGATTTATCCCGATCCTAGCCCTGTTTTATTGCCCCTCGTCCTTTCCCAACCGACGTCGCGGGCGGTTCCAGTTCTGCCACCCACCGGTGGCGAGCGAGGGGGGGGAAGCGAGAAGGACCAGTCCTTCTCGGAACGCGGCGGGACCGCTCAGAGCCCCTCGCGCCGCTGGAGAAGCTTGCTTTTTGTCTTCGGGGAAGGCTTAGAATACTTCCCGGAAGGGCGGGGGACTTCCGAGCCGTCTGAGAATTGGGAAGAGGGGGGGGCGGCTCGGCGGCCCCGCCAGCCGCGTTCATCGACACCCGGCCGCTCCTGGCGTCTGGAGGCGCTGGGAAGACCATGCGTGCGCGGCCGATTCGTGCATGAATCCTCCCCTCAGATCCCCGTCCTCCGTCCGACACGAAGATGGGGTCGGAGGATCGCGCCGCATCGATGCTGCATCAGCGACGCGGCGCGATCCAGAACAAGTGTTTTCCATCCCGACCGGCGTTGCCGATGCACGGCGCGATGTCCCCACATAGACGTCCGCCTCGAAGTATCACAACTATCGCCAGTTGTCTCAGCATACTTTTGCACAACGAAAGTTTGGCGAGGATAGTTCGATTGATCGGGGCCCACAGCACTTGGGCTGTTCAAAGCAAGTTGCCGCCATCCATCCACAAACACATATGTTTCATGGATATATCTGGAGCTCAAGGCGGGCCTCTGAACATCTGCTTCTGCCCCATGTGGGCGGCTCTCCCCCCCCATCTCCTCCCCGTGGCAGACGTCCACGAAGTCGCCCTGGGCGCTCCAGGATGCCTCTCTGGAGGCCTCGCAGGGTCGCCGAGGCCCCCCGAGGTCCTCAGAGGCTCCCAAGAACGCCCAGGTGCGTAAACCAAAGCGTCCACCAAAGCAAAGATCCCCCCAGAGAAGTCATGTAGGCATCTGTGCACCACCGCCGTGCCTGACCAGGGCCATCCGGTGCCCCAGGCTGGTGTATCGACCGACCTGGCCTCGGCCAGGACGACGTACAGATCCACCGTGGCAGGCACGGTGATGGCGCATATCCTCCACCAGGACGGAGGGCGGGGAGAAGTTGGAAGCGGTGATCCCACCAAGGCTTCCTCCTCCCCCTACACCTCCCCCTCCTCCTCCTCCTCCTCCTCCTCCTCCTCCTCCTTCTCCCCCTCCTCCCCCTCCTCCCCCTCCTCCCACTCCCCCTCCTCCCCCTCCTCCCCCCTCCTCCTTCCCTCCCCCTTCTCCTCTCCCTCCTCATCCTCCTCTCCCTCCCCCTCCTCCTCCCTCACGGGCCCCCCTCCTCTTCACCTCACTGACCGCCTCCCTCCTCTTCACGGGGGTCCGGGAGGGGGGCGGGGAGCCTCGGTCGCGCGAGGGCCCGTCCAGACTGGACGTGCGCCCTGCTCGCCGGCGCCGCCGCGGTGCCGCGGCAGGCCTCAAGCAGATCAGGGTGGCGATCTCGTACCGCAACAAGCAGATGACCGAGGTCCAAAGGGCCCCGCCGGCGGCGTCCTTGACGCCGTCGGGCCAGGCTGCCCAGTCGGGGCTTGAGCAGATGGGGTCGGAGGATCGCGCCGCATCGCCAACCCGGCGCCGGTGTGGCACGAACTGGAGCCAGAGTTTCTCCATGCCGGCGCCGCTGATGCTTCGGCTCGGCGCTGCGGCGCGATTCTTCGCCGCCGCCTGCTTGGATCCCATGTGGGTGGCCTCTGTCCATGGGGAGGGAGACTGTCGGAGGCTATCGGGGTGGTCCCCCCGGGGGTCTGGGGACTTTCTGTGGGGTCTCGACGGTGTGCGCGTGCCGCTTGGGACGTGAGGGATGGAGGGAGAGGAGGGCAGGCGGAGGAGGAGGTGTCGAGCAGGGAGTGGGATGGACGGAGGAGGAGGAGGAGGAGGAGGAGGAGGAGGAGGAGGAGGAGGAGGAGGACGAGGACGAGGACGAGGACGAGGAGGAGGACGAGGACGAAGAGGACGACGACGGGGGGAAGAGGCAGAGAGGAGGAGCAGCAGCATCAGCAGTAGGCAGAGGGGGATGGCTTGGTCGGCGCCTGGCCCCGATGTCACGATGTGCTGGGGGCGCCACGATTCCTCACACGGAGGGCCTCAGCGGAGGAGGTGGGGAGGAGGTGGTCGAGGAGGGCTGTCGACCACCCAGTCTCGTGGGATGCGGGCGAATCCACCTTCCCTGCCATAAGGGCAGTCCTGGTGCGTCGTGCTGGCGCCAGGGGCGGTAGTGCGCGGGCACAAGCGCGGTGAGGAGAGACGCGTTGCCCGCGGCGAAGTGCGAGGAGGGGGTCGAAGACATTAGTTCTTGCGACCGGATGTTGCGCGTGTGCTCGCCCCTCTTGGATCCACAGGTTTCCGGGCGCCGCAGGCCTCCTCAGTTTTCCGCGGGCGGTTGTTGCAGATGCCAGTCACGTTCGTCAAGGGCCTCGATGTTGCTGTCAGAACAGCAAGAACAAGAGGTCACAGCACCCCTTCGTACTATCTTGCGTTGCCCGAGGAAGTGGAACACATTGCCGCGGCGCCATACTTTCGAATCTCGGCTCGCAGTTATTGCGAGTAGGCGGAGCAGGCGGAATAGTATCTATTTCGCGCGGAGGCGCACCTTGTGCGATATGTCTTACGCGGTGTGGCGCGGAATTTCTGGACACCGAGTGAATTGACAGAGTTAAAGACCGTACAGGGACCGAGCATATATCGCCGAACGTTGCAAGCCGTATGACACGCAAGGAACATTTACACCGATATGATCGTTCACGTTGTCTTGTCACGGCGGTGTATGGGAGGTGGAGGGAGGAGACAATGAGGCCGAAGAGGAATCGGGGAAACGGAATACTCGAGTACCCCGGAACTCGGTTTTGCGGACTCGTTTTGACGAGCTCGTCCTGGCTTTTGACGGTCCTGTTATCGTAGGATGTTTGCAGCGGGGTCGCGTCATTTTCATGGTGGCCCCGTCATGCCAACCCGAGTCGCTCGAAGCCGGGAGTCGTAAGTCTTCCCGAAAGAAGCGCACGAGGTGAGGGGGAGGAGAAAGAGGACGACGAAGAAAGATGAAGGAGGCCGAGGACAGGCCTTGCGAAGTGCGCGAATCAGAAGCGATCCGTTTGGAGGGTTCTCTTTGACGCCGTCGTGTTTCTCACCCCCCTGTGCGGATGGGCCCTTCGCTGTTCGAGCAAGAGCGTGCGCCTTGTCCTAATCCCCCTCTCTTCGCCACTGCTCTCGCTGTCACGACCGCTGTCGATGTTGCTCCTCGTCCTCTGTCTCCTCCTTTTGTTGATCTGCGCCCCCTTCCTGCACTCCAGAGTTCGAGCTCTCTTCGCTCTGTTCTCCCTGACGCCTTGCAAGCACCATGCGATTCGGACCGCGCCCCGATGCTTCTCGGACTGGGAGCCGGAAGTCCATGCAATCTGTGCTGCACTCCCTTCCGTCCATTCCCACCTGCCCGCCCCCTTGCTTCGTCCCGCTGGCCCTGTCCCCACGCCTGCGCTTCTGCTGCCGTTTGATTGCTTCTCGCTCCCTCTCTCCCATTCCGTCGAAAGACAGCGCCGACGACACTGGACTCGTCAGCGAGGGCTGTGTTCTTCGAGATCATGGGCTGTTGCGTGGACTTAGCGTTCTTACACTTCTAGGAGGTCAAATTCTGATTTGTCCTGGTCCGAAATCCAGCTTAATCCCTCTCAATCCAGACGGCTTAATCCCGCTTAATCCGGCTTAATCCGAGGCCCACTCCAGCGGCACTGCGGCACCCCAATGGGGCTCAATCCTCTTCAATCCTTCCGACGAAGACCTTCCAATAGTTACCTCCTAACACCTTCTGCGATGTTTCTTCCCATCGTGCGCGCGACAGAGAGAGAGAGAGAGAGAGAGATGAAGGAAGAGTCGGAGCCGTGGGGCGAGGGTGCAGTGGGCTCCCAGTCAGGTCCGGCTGCCTCGGGGCTACTTCCCCTCGCACCTGGAGGACCCCCCCGCGGCTCCGGAAAGTTGCCTGCCCCCGGTATCGTTTAACCGATCCCCATCCCCGTCCCCGTCCCCTGCAAGTTTCCCACCAAATTATCACCCCAGTTGGGGATACACCCTTCGAAACCCGAAAGAAACGACCTATATCCCCATCTAGGGGGGTAAATCGGCCAGTGGGGCCCAGGCCACGCCGCTGGGGATGGGGATCGGTTAAACGATACTCATGCCCTCGTCATCCGACACGGTTGTCCTCCTTGAAGGCCTGTGGTCATGGGCTGGCTTTCCATGATTCTTGAATCGCCTCGCTCATGCCGCCGGCCCATACTGTCTCGCCGCCGTGGTTTGTCTGGGTGCTGTTGTCGATGCTGTGCCGCTGGGCGGCTGGCATTTTCTGGAGGCGGAGCGTGGAAGCCTTCGGATGCGTCTTGGGGGCCGTTTGTCTGGCGGCCTCTTTTTGAATCTCTTGGGGGCTTGGCTTCTTGGGGCCCACTGGGGCTTCTTGGGGGTCTCTTCTTGAGTCACTTGGGGGCTCCGTGGGGCCCGTTGGGGGCTTCTTGGCGGCCTGCTGGCGGTCTCGGAGGTGGCCCGTGGGACGGAAATATTGGAATGTAATTTCGAGTTTCCCCTCTTGGGCTCTTCTTGGGGCCGTCTTGGGCCGTCTTGGGCGCCTCTTGGGCCGTCTTGGTGTCCTCTTGGGTCGTCTTGGGGCCCTGCTCTGTTTGGCCCAGCTTGGGGGTCTGTTGGGCCGTCTAGGGGCGTTCTTGGGGGCCTCTCGGGCAGTTGTGGACGCGGTGAACCCCTAAACGTCGTTTGTAGCTTGTTGGGGCACTCTTGGAGAGCCTCTTGAGGCTCTCTTGGGGCTTTTGGCGGCCTCTAGGGCCGTATGGAGACCATCTTAGGCGTCTTGGAACGATCTTTCGGCGACTCGGGGCCTCTTGGGCCGTGTCAGGAGCCTCCCGGGGTCCTCTTGGCGCGCTCCTGGAGCGCTCTGGGGGACCAGGCCGGGCATCGTCCAGACATCAGCCGGGGTATTTTTCGTTCCAGGGGCCGCCACGCGCGCGCGCGCGAACTAGAAATACTGCTAACCTGTTATCAGAGATCTGAGCACTCTTCTGGCCCGTTGGGCTGGCGAATTCCATCAGATGGAACGGATTCCCAAAGGGGTTGGCTTGGGGGTTTGGCAGGAGGGTTTGTCGGGTGAATTCTTCGATCGGCCGCTGCTTCCATAACACAGAGTGCTCCGATTTGTAGGAGGCGGCTTGCGTTTCATAGCCTCGAGGGTTCTACCGCACAGTCGAATGCAGCGCGCAGTGAGGCTTTCGATGTCAGGGAGGCCATCCGCCTCCCAGCAGTCGAGGTGGCAGCGTCCAGCGATCGATCGTGGGCAGTATGTGATGGGTGACGTTGATTGTGCGCTGGGATGTTAACCCATCTCTCTTACGGACCTCGTCTTGTGGAGTAGCTCTCTGTGGGTCCTGGGTTCGTGGGCGAGCCCCAGATGTCGTTCAGCCCTGCATCATGGGCGTCCGAGAGGGGAGTGAGGACTAGGGGGGGAGGGTACTATAGCTGGGGCCATGACATCGCTCAGATTTCATGGCCCCTCCACCTTCGTTCAGCAGGTCCCCTTGGACCCCGCCCTCGTCCGCGCGCATGCTTCGGGGCATGACGCACACCCGTCATCCCTCCTGCCTGTGCCCCCTCGTGGGCGCACCCGACAGACGAGCGCTAGACACGCCTCACACAGCAGAGGCAGATTGTCAAGACGCGGAAGAGAGGCGGGGGGAACGAAAGTGGGGGATAGTAAAGGGTAGGTTAGAGAATCAGTTCACGTAGCTGATTTTCCCAGCGCCTCCCGGCGCCAGTAGGCGCCCATATATGAAGGAATGGGCCCGGCGGCAGGGCGGAAACCAGGTGCATGCAGCAGAATTCGTACCCCCCCCTTTCCCTATCCCCCCCTTTCGTTTGGCCCGAGAGGAACAATTCGGGCTCGGAAGCAGCTCGCCATTCCGCAGGCCCTTACACGGGTGTTCTTCGCGCGCCCCTTCGTGTACCCAGGCGCGCCGTGGGGCCAGGAAGCAAGTTTTGCTTCGTTCCGTGTTTAGTGTCCTTTGTGGTAGTTGCTTGGCTGCATGGCAGCAAGGCGCCCACGACCGAGTGCTGATCAACGCCATTCCTCTGCGAGCACCTGCGAGCCCCAGCCCTGTGGGTTCTGTCGACCCTTGGGCCTCGGACACCCCCGCCTGGGTTCGCTTGGCGCTTGGCTGCAGGCATTCTTCGAATTTGGAACTCCAGCCTACGTTTCAGCTGTCTGACCTGCAGGGATGGGTTCGGCACGTCGTCATTCAGAAGGAGGCCTACACAGTGACAGCTCCAGTCCTACTAGGAGGCACTTTTCTTCGAGAGCCGATTGCTTCCTTCGCTGCCGATGCGATCGCTCTGGACGAGGCTGTCCAGGCAGTGTGGGCCATACCTTTCTGCCACTCGCAACCGGCCGTCATCACCGTGACATGGGCCTGGCGAACGATAGGGTCAGCATGTGCTCGCCTGATTTCAGGAGCGAGAGAAGGACGTACACGTACATGACTCCGCGCTGGTTTCGAGAGCACGCACTGCGCACATGCTCGCATCCTGCGGCCAGCCTCGCGGATCGAGGGGCCGCGCTCGTGTACGCAGCTGGGCGCGCACGTCCCTTAGTGGGCTCCCTGCGATCCGGGGGCGCGGGGACGCGCAGAGGGGTGCCTCCGGAGGAGCGGCGGGCGGGCGCCGCCTCGCCCGCGGGAACCTTCGAGGCAGGCCCGCGGCCGGGCCCCCCCGCGGGCCCTCGGCGAGCCGCTCGCGCGGCCGCACGGCCTCCGGCACGCGGTCGGCCTCGCCGGCGGCCGCCTTCGCGGGCGGCCGTCGTCGCCAGGCACTCGCCGCTGGCGGCCGCAGCTGCCGCCGTCGTCGTCGCCGCCGTCGCCTTCGTCGGCGGTCGTTGTCGCCACATCGGCCGCTGGCGCTGGTGGTCGGCTTCGCGGGCGGTCGTCTTCGCCGGTCGTCGCCCCGCCGGGGTCGCCTGCACCGCCGTCGTCTTGGCCGGCGGTCGCCTTCGCCAGCGGGCAGTGGTCGCCGTCGTCGTCGTTGTGGTCGTCGTTCCGCCGTCGTTCCCGTAGCATCTTGCTCGTCGTCGTCGGAGGCGCCGTGCTCCTGATCGTCGTCCTCGTCGAGCTCGACACATTCCAGCTCGCGCCGTCCTGGTCCTCGTCAACCCCTACGGGCGGGTCGGGCGCTCTCGAAGGGGGCGGGCTGGGCTGGCAGGGCCCCCACGGGCGGGCCACGCGGGCGGGGCATGCAAGCGGGCGGGCGAGGGGGCACGAGCGCAAGCGAACGTGCGGGCCTTCGTCGGGCGGTCGAGCGGGCGGGCCCTGTCGGGTGGGCGGGACTTTCACGGGCGTGTCGGGCGGGCGGGCCGCGGGCCGGGCGGGCGGGACGTTATTAGTCAGGAGGGAAAAAACACACGGACACAATGCATCGTCGATTTGCAGGAAAGTATTGGAAAATGTGGGAAGTGGGGGGGGGGGAGACGAAGACCCAGAAAATATGATAAGATATGGGGAATCTAGATTTGTAGTGTCTATTTAGTTGTGTGTCCCAGGGCCCCATTGAGTGTCGGGCGGGCGGGCCGTGACTCGAACGGGCGGGGCGGGCGGGCGGGACATCACAATTGGCGGGCGGGGCGGGTGCACCTTCGCGGGCGGGTCGGGCGGGCGGCCCTTGCCAGGCGGGTCGGGCAGGCAGGACCTTGATGGTCGGGTCGGGCAGGGGGGGGCATTGCATTTGGCAGGCTTAAGGGCAAGCGAACGTGAACGTTCACACCGCGGGCCGGCCCGAGCGCCTGGGTCGGGCGGGCGAAGGCGACTGTGCGAAGGCAACTGGTCGGACGCGGCTGGTACGAGGATGCATCCGTTCCAGAGCGTTCTGGATCGCTGTCAGAGCGTCTCGGAACGCTCTGAGAAGGCCACGGCGCCCCAGGTATCCTCCAGAGCCGCCAGATCTCAGAGATGCGAGAGCACTCGCTGTGATCTTAGTCCTGGCTTCGTCTTACTTGGCGGCCTTGAGCGGCGAGCGGGGGGCCTGCCGTTTCGCCCCATCGGGCCGCCGGCCCTCCCCATCGCCCCCGCCCGTCGCGGACCGCCCCCCCCCCCCCCCCCCCGCCCGCAGGACCTGAAGGAGGTCGTGTGCGAGTACGAGACGCTGGAGGGCTGGGAGCAGGACCGCCAGCGGTGTTGTAGGTCGCGCGCGCTGGAGGGGGAGGAGGAGGAGGAGGAGGAGGAGGAGGAGGAGGAGGAGGAGGAGGAGGAGGAGGAGGAGGA